TGGAACCTTGCGCTTGTTAGGCAGAGGGCGGCGGCACCACTTAGCTAAATCCCCAGCTAATTTTCACTTTTAAAAAAATTTTTTTAAAAGAACTTGTGTATGCCACAAGAGAGGCTTTTGTTTTATTTTATTTTTTGGTACTGGGAGCCAAACTCGAGACCTTGCGCTTTCGAGGGAGGCTCGATGCCTCTGAGCTACATCCCGGAGCCTCTTTTTGGCTTTATGAGACAAGGTCTAGATTCCCGGCTTTGAATTTCCAGCTATCCTCCTGCCTCTGCCTCCACCTCCTGAGTGCTGGGATCGCAGCTGAGCACCACCGCGGACTCCGAGTGTTCCCAAGACAGAAACATGAGCGTTCCAGGTGGCCGCTGCACCAAGTGCCCTGCTGTGGTCTCGGCACACTCTCTGGGTGAGGAAATGTCACTGCACTCCAGGAATGTGTAGGATCATTTTAAAACATTAGCCTATAGGAACGTGAAAGGACCGAGGTGCTGGTACTTGCTGCACAGGTGAATTGTGAGCTGGCCACGGCCAGGGTGCTGTCCTGGTGGAACCCTGTCCCCCAAGGGTCTGTCAGGACGAAGCCCTTAGGGAGACCCCGACTTCAGTGTGCCTGGTGTCCTTATAACAGGGGAACCTTCCCGGGCTCCGTGGGGCACACCTGTCATCCCAGCACTGTGGGAGGCTGAGGCAGGAGGATCAACAGTTTGAGCCCAGCCTGGGCAACCTGGTGACTTAGTGGGACCCTGACTCAAAAAATTAAAACAAGGTCCTGGGCTACAGCTCAGCTCAGTGCACAGGCCCTGGGTTCCATGCCAGTGCTGCAAAGTGAACAAATACAAAATACAAATAAAAAAAAAAAGAAAATTCAAGAAAAACATCCCATTCATTTCCCGATACCACCAGGATGAAGTGGGGACTCCTGGCCAGTGTCTGAGTCACCTCCTGGGAAGGGGGAGCAGCCTGGAACCCCTCAGGAAATCCAAGCCAGAATTGTCAGCCCAAAGGAAAAGCACAGGAAGAAGGGGAAAGGGACTCAGCTCTGATTTTCAACTTTTTTTTTTTTTTTTTTTTTTTGAGAAAAGTTCTCTCCATGTGGTTCAGGCTGACCTTGAATTCGTGGTAACCCTCCTGCCTCAGCCTCCTGAGTGCTGGGATCATAGGCATGTGCCACCATGCCCAGCTTGATTTTCAAATTTTTAAGTTTGAAAATTCCAGAATTGTGGCCGGGGGAGTAATCCAGCGGTAAAAATACCTGCTCAGCAGGCACAAGGTACTGGGTTCCATCCCACCCCTCAAAATAAATAAAAATAATAAATTACAAATAAAAATGGGGGGGCATAAGGGGAGGGATGGGATAAAATAAAATAATTTTAAAAATACAAATAAAATTTTGGGCCAAGGGTAGTGGTGCACACTTGTAATTCCAAGATACTTAGGAGGCTGAGGCAGGAGGATGGCCAGTTTCAGGCTAGTCTGGACAACTTAGTGACTTAGTGAGATGCTGTCTCAAAACAAAGCCCCATCTGGGCCCTGGGCAGCCGGTGCCCGATGCTGGGGTTTTCCAGGACTCTGGATGTGTGTGAATCTATGACTTAATGATCCTGGACCAGATAGTTGAGTGCATCCTGGAATCCAAACAGGCCAGTTCCCAGCAGTGAGTCTGGGGGCTGCTGTGACCCGAAGAAGGTGGGGACCCACTCTCCTGGGCCCGGATGGAACTAGGGCTGTGGAACTGAGCTACATCCCAGCCCTTTTTGTTTTGCTGCCTCTGTAAGTTGCCCAGGCTGGGTTGGAGCTGGTGATCCTCCTGTGTCAGCCTCCCAGATCTTCTGGGCGTCTGGGGTCTCACCATATGGCCCCTGGCCCCGAGTTCCCAGCATAGTCCTGGTTGGCTGGGAGACCCACCCTGCTCCAGGGATGGGGGGACAGATCTCCTCCCCGGGGCTCTGGGGGACCCCAGGATCCAAAGTGGCCGGGGGCATCGGAGCACTTCCTTCCTGCCCTCCCTGGCCCTGCCCCTCCACCTCTGTCCCAGCCAGCAGGGCTGAGGCCACCCCACCTTGCACCCAGGCCACCAAGAGCCCCCTGGCTGGGAGGAGGGAGAGGAGAGAAAAGATGCTTTTGGTGGTGTGGGCCATGACTCGGGTGTGAGTGTGCCCCCTGCCCCAGTGCTGCTATCCCCAGGTGCCACAGGCCTGTGCCCTATGGGGAAATGGCCTCCTTCTCAGGCCTCCAAATCCCTGCCTCCTCCCTACCCAGCCAGTGAGACCCCAGTTGTAGGCAGGGATGGGGCACTCGCCCTGCATCATTGTATGTGTGTGTGCGCATGTGTGCCTTTGCCACCGGGGACTGAACCCAGGGAGTGTTGAGCTAATCCCCAACCCTTATTTACAACATTTTTTTTGCCAGGCATGGTGGCACACGCCTGTAATCCCAGCATTTGGGAGGCTGAGGCAGGAGGATCACTGTGAGTTTGAGACCAGCCTGGGCTACATAATGAGTTCCAGGTCAGTCTCAACTACATAGTGAGACCCTGTCTCAAAAAACCAAACCAAACCAAACCAAAACAAAAAAAAACAACTTTTTTTGAGACAGGGTCACAAGTCAAACTTTGATCCTCCTGCCTCAGCCTCCTGAGTAGCTGAGATTACAGATGTGTTACTATTTTTGGCAGTGCTGGGGAGGGAACCTAGGCCTCCTGCAGACTAGGCCAGTGCTCGCCCTGCAGGATGTGATCTTGGAGGACGCTGAAGCTGGGCTTCTCCACATCCTGGCCCCTGTGGCGGGCACTTTGTAGGCCTCACGTCAGTCATGCCCGGCTGCTCCTTCACACCTGGGATAGCCACTCACCTGAATGCTGGGTGGGCAGTGCCCCAGCCAAGGGCTGTGGGCTGGAAATGTGGCCCCCCGGGCGGTGGGGAGTGGCCCATTAGGTACTGAGCTCCCGAGCCTCAGCACCCCAGGTAGAACGCTGGACAAACCTCTGAATCCTGTCTGTGTGTCCCTCTGTCTCTCTGCCTTTTTTCTTAGGCAGGGTCTCAGCATGTAGTCTAGGCTGCCTTTGTACTCACTATGTAGCCCAGGCTGGCCTCGAACTCACCACAGGCCTCCTGCCTCAGCCTCCCGACTGAGTGCTGGGAAGCATACGGGAGCCCCCGCGCCCAGCTCTCCTCTTCCTGTTTTAGGCAAGGTCTCCCGGTACAGGCAGCCTGGCCTGGAACTCCCACAGAGCCCACGTTGGTCTTGATAAACCGTTACTGTTTTGTTTTTGGACAGAGTCTCGCTGTGGCGCCCAGGCCAGCCCCTGTCCTACAGTCCTCCCGCCTCAGCCTCCTGAGTGCTAGGAGGTGTGCACTGCCACACCTAGTTCTAAAGCCAGGTTTGTAAATTCCCTGGTCTTAGTTATTGTGTTACAGGCCAAACCTGGTGCAGTAGTGCACGCCTTCACCCCATTACTCTGGAGGCTGAGGCAGGAGGAAGCCTCGAGTTTGAGGCCGGCCTGCACTGCATGGCAAGACCCTGGCTCAGAAGCGAAACCCCAAAGAGACAGAACAGAAGACCCCCCGCAAGCAGGCTCACCTGGTCGGCCTGGCACTGGCGGAAGCTGGCATTGATGCCCTCCAGGTCGCGGCGCGCGCCCAGGAGCATCTGCATGATGCTGTCCTTGGCGCGCACAGTGAGGTTGAGCTCGCGCGTGAGGTTGTCTCGCGTGGCCGACAGCCCCACAACCTGGCCGTGCAGCGCAGCGGCGCGGCGCTCGGTGTCCTGCAGGTTGGCCTCTGTGCCCTCGTGCACGTTGCCGTACACCATGAAGAGCACCAGCCCCGCGATGATGAGGGTCTGGACTAGCGACGCGAAGAGGAAGAAGTAGCGCAGGTAGTACCAGCAGCCGCGTGCCGAGCCGCCAGCGCGCGCGTCAGCCCCACAACCTGGCCGTGCAGCGCAGCGGCGCGGCGCTCGGTGTCCTGCAGGTTGGCCTCTGTGCCCTCGTGCACGTTGCCGTACACCATGAAGAGCACCAGCCCCGCGATGATGAGGGTCTGGACTAGCGACGCGAAGAGGAAGAAGTAGCGCAGGTAGTACCAGCAGCCGCGTGCCGAGCCGCCAGCGCGCGCGTGT